AAAATGTCGGTTTCACTCCAAGTGGGTACCACATGTTAGATTAACGAAAATTTAAACGTTGCTTTCTTATTATAGATCCAGATGATCTGCGTGCTACTATGGCCATTTACGACGAAAATTTAAGTTGGATTGTACCGAATGACATGGTCATTTTTGACGAAACTAAACGTACCGAAATGGGTGAGTTGATTAGACAGTTGTATACTGGCGGTGAGCCATTAGCCGACCATTTGGGTGACGGTGTTAGAGTAAGTACTATTTTGACTTTGTCAACTGTTAAATAACACAATAGTTAGTATTCTAGTGACAATTCTTTCACTAGATCAGTAATCAAACACGCAGAACTATTTTCTAAAGTATCAGAGACCTACTTTTATTTATTCGGCTATGATGGAGATATGGCTGGTCATAACACATACTATGAAGGTGCTGAAACTGTTGGGCATGGTGCAGAAACTGTTTATTTGTTTTGTTCTGGTGAAGGTTGCAGAGGGGAAGGATTTCCTGAAGCTGACACAATTACGAGGAAACGTCTGATTAAACTTTGGACGGATTTTGCTAAATATAAGCAAGTTGAGATAATTTGACACTGACGTCTTTAAACACTGTTTTTTTTTAGAAATCCGACCCCAGAACCATCAGAGTTACTACAGAATATCACGTGGCCTTTACTGAATACAGACGATGGTGATTTCTTCTATTTGAATATTAATGAAACTTTAGAAATAAAAAACCATCCTAAAGAAACTACCTACAATGGTTGGAATGAGCTTTACGCAAGTTTAGGCTACAATGACTTTGACACCTACTGAAAGTCACATTGATTGTAATTTTGTAAAAGAGCTAAAAATTAAATCTTTCACTAAAGCTTTTATTTATTCGTTTAATCACATGCCCCTGACGTACAGGCGAACGAATCCAGCTTTTTCTGGTCATTATAAAACTCGAAATTTTATTGATTTTATGAAAACCCCTATCAATTAAAAAAAATTATAATTAATACCAGTCATAGTGTAAGGACAAAATTGGTGGAAGGTTATTACATCAAACTTTTCTCGCCTCTGAAGTACGATAAAACATATACAGCTTTTTTGAAAAATTACGAAATTTGATTTTGCAAATTTTATTTTTTTTATGAGAACGATATGTATATAGCATGAATTTGTATTACGGACAGACAGACAGACAGACAAACAGACGGACGGACAGGAGGACAGCTAGACAGGCAGACAGACAGACTGAAACGAGAGAATACATTTTTCGTACTCGAAGAGTCATGAAACGTCGAGAAAACATCCAAAATCGAAAATTAGGACAATCGAAAAAATGAAAAATTGAGAATTCGAAAAATCGAATAATGCAGAACAAAAATTTTGAGAAACTTTTTTTGGGACTTTAAGGAATCGTGAAAACTAGAATTCTAGAGCTCGAAAAATTGAAACATCGAAAAACCGAGAAGTCGAACATTCGAAAAAATTAAAAACTGAGAACCCTGAAATACGAAAATTTAAAATATCAAAAAACCAAAAATTAGAAAAATTTAAAAATCGAGACATTGAGAACTTGGAAAATTGAAAAATTGAAAGTCAAAAAATGGAGAAATTGAAAAATTGAGAAAACTCGAAAATTGAGGACTCGAAAAATAGAAAAATCAAAATGAAAATTCAAAAAATCGAAAAATTGAGATTTGGAGAAACTGAAAGTCGAGAATTCGAAAAATGCAAAGTCAAAAAATGAGGAAATTGAGAAACTCAGAAATCGAGAACTCCAGAAATTAAGAAATTGAAAAATCGAAAAATCGACAAAACCAAAAAATTAAGAATTTAAAAAATCGAGAAATCTAGAAATTGATAATGGAGAAATCGATAGATCGAAAAATACAGAACAAACTATTAAAATTGAGACACTGAGAAATTGGGAAATCGAAGTCGTGAAATTGAGTAATGGGGAAAACTAGAATTCTAGAACTCGAAAAATTGAAACATCAAAAAACCGAGATATCGAATAGTCGAAAAAACGAAAAATTGAGAAATCTAAGAATCGAAGAAACCAAAATTTGAAAAATTTATAAATCAAAAATGGAGAAATCGAGAAATTGATATCTCGGAAAATTGAAAAATTTATAGTAAAACAATGGAGAAATTGAGAAATTGGGAAATTGAGGAAATGAGAAATTGAAAAATGAGAGTGAAAAAATTGAGAAATTGAATAATGAGAAATCAAACTATCGAATCGGAAATTGAGATCTCTAACAATCAAAATATCGAAAACTCGAAAAATCCAAAAATCGAAAATTCATACATTCAAAAAAACGAAAAGTTCAGAATTCGTAAAATTGAAAAATAAAAATGAAAATTCGAAAATTGAAAAACCGAAAAATCGAAAAATCGAAATTTCAAAAACTGAAAAATCGAGATATCGAAAAACTGAAAATCGAGAAATCGAAAAATTAAAGAATCAAAAAATAGTGAAACTGAGTAACTGAGAAAGCGAGAACTCCAGAAATTAAGAAATAAAAAATTCGAAAACTCGAAAAACCAAAGAATTTGGAATTCGAAAAATCAGGAAATCGAAAAATTGATAATCGGGAAATCGAAAAATCGAAAAATGCAGAACAAAAATTTTGAGAAATTGATAAATTGGGACATCGAGAAATCGAGAAATATAGAACTCGTAAACTCAAACAATTGTAACATGGAAAAACCCAAAATCGAATAATCGAAATTGAGAAACTCAGAAATCGAGAACTCCAGTAATTAAGAAATTGAAAAATCGAAAAATCGACAAAACCAAAAAATTAAGAATTTAAAAAATCGAGAAATCTAGAAATTGATAATGGAGAAATCGATAGATCGAAAAATACAGAACAAACTATTAAAATTGAGAAACTGAGAAATTGGGAAATCGAAAAGTCGTGAAATTGAGTAATGGGGAAAACTAGAATTCTAGAACTCGAAAAATTGAAACATCAAAAAACCGAGATATCGAATAGTCGAAAAAACGAAAAATTGAGAAATCTAAGAATCAAAGAAGCCAAAATTTGGAAAATATATAAATCAAAAATGGAGGAATCGAGAAATTGATATCTCGGAAAATTGAAAAATTTATAGTAAAACAATGGAGAAATTGAGAAATTGGGAAATTGAGGAAATGAGAAATTGAAAAATGAGAATGAAAAAATTGAGAAATTGAATAATGAGAAATCAAACTATCGAATCGAAAATTGAGATCTCTAAAAATCAAAATATCGAAAACTCGAAAAATCCAAAAATCGAAAATTCATACATTCAAAAAAACGAAAAGTTCAGAATTCGTAAAATTGAAAAATTAAAATGAAAATTCGAAAAGTGAAAAACCGAAAAATCGAAATTTTAAAAACTGAAAAATCGAGATATCGAGAAACTGAAAATCGAGAAATCGAAAAATTAAAGAATCAAAAAATAGTGAAACTGAGTAACTGAGAAAGCGAGAACTCCAGAAATTAAGAAATAAAAAATTCGAAAACTCGAAAAACCAAAGAATTTGGAATTCGAAAAATCAGGAAATCGAAAAATTGATAATCGGGAAATAGAAAAATCGAAAAATGCAGAACTAAAATTTTGAGAAATTGAGAAATTGGGAAATCTAGAACTCGTAAACCCAAAGAATTGTAACATGGAAAGATTCAAAATCGAATAATCGAAATTGAGAACTCGGAAAATTGAAAAATTGAGAATCAAAAAATGAGAAATCGGGAACTCAAGAAATTAAGAAATTGAAAATTCGAAAAATCAAAAAACAAAGAAATAAGAATTCGAAAAATCGAAAAATTTAGAAATTGATAATGGAGAAATCGAAGAATCGAAAAACAGTTTGAGAAACTGAGTAATTGGAAAATCGAAAAATCGAAAAACCAAAAAATCGAATAATCGAGAAAACGAAAAATTAGGAAATCCAAAAATCAAAAAATCGAAAAACCAAACAACTGAAAAAACGAAAACAAGTGAGATTTTACAAAATTTTGAGATGACCCCAATAATATTTTTGTAAGGAGACGTGTATCAACTTGGATAAACGCAGTGTAATACTAATAATAATAATAGTACTATATTCATAAATTTTTGGATAAGTGAACTAAGTCGTTCCTGATTTATACAATACAATAAATTGCCTCACTCATTAATTTTCTTGAGTAACCCTGTATAAATAATTCTAAAGACTGAGTGCACCACATAGACAGACAGATGACAGACAGACGGAAACGGGACACAACTTTTTTCGCACTCTAGGGGTCATGAAACGTCGAGAAAACATGAAAGTGATAAGTTGCTCGATGGACCCGATTACTAACTTTACTATACTTAGCTTACACTCAGAAAGTAAAAATATGAATGGAATGATAAATCATAAGTATAAAGTCATCATATTTTGCACATTTGGGATAGGATTTATTTGCCAGAATTTTGAGATGTCATCAGGTTTTAGGGGGATCGTAACCGGATAAACTTTGATCAACTAATTTACCATGTTTCCGATAACCTTAAAACGTTTGCAAAGTTTTAGAGAATTTGATTTTGATATTTCAAATTTATATCCTAAAAAGGTTAATATAATATTACAATTTTGATTTTTTTTCCTTTCTTATGGTACAAACTCAACAGGGATTCATAAACTACATGTGGAGGAGTATCTTATTTTATAAAATTTACACCTAAATTAAATAAAGTTAAACAACTGAAAATATCAGTTATGATGCAATTAGCAACACTTATTTTTCTAAAGCACACAACTACTACAACAGACACTCACGTCCTCTCTTTCAATCCAAATTTGAACAATTCAGTTCAAACCAGATAAATTCACTGAAATCTACTTGTAAACAACGTTAGTCAGAAGTTTCATCTCCGTTTAGATTGTTTAATAAATCAAAACACTCAAGTGATATATTTCAAGTATCCAATAACCTTTCTAAAAAGATATGTAACAAGTTGAATTAATCAATTATTGTTGTGTTGCATTACCTAGTAACAAATACAATGTGTTCCAAAATATTAAAAAGTAGCGTTCTCCTACTTCAGATAAGTTCTTTGGTAATTTTTATTTATTTATATTTTAAAATAATGACCTAAATATGGATAAACCTGTGTAGTTAGCAGATGTAGTTGTACAACTTCCAACTGGGCAAATAAGGGGGCGTGAAGACACAACCATCGAAAACAAGTCATTTTATGCCTTTCAAGGAGTACCATACGCGGCACCACCAATTGGAGAGCTACGATTCAAGGTTATAAAATTTAAAACAATAACAATAGTTTTGTGGGAATAACTTTCAGGTGCCACAACCTGTTGTAGATTGGGATGACACCCTCGACGCTACAAAGTTCTCCTCGACTTGTTTTCAAACATCAACTAACGATGATAACGAATCTGAAGATTGTCTATATATTAACATCTATACTCCTGAAGTAAGTACCAAAGGTGTTTGTTTCCGTTTTTAAAACTACATTATTTCGATAGCTACCAAGTGAAGATAACAATGTTTCTTTACCAGTGATGTTCTTCATTCATGGTGGAGGTTTCGTCGACGGTACCGCTGCTGACTTTGCCCCTGATCTATTTGTCAATAACGACGTCATTCTAGCTACAATCAATTACAGAGTGGGAATTTTTGGTAACAAATAATTTTACTAAGAAAACGTCTTTGTACTTGTTAAGTAAATATAGGTTTTATCTCAACTCAAGATGACGTAATTCCCGGTAATAACGGTCTTAAGGATCAACGCTTCGCGATTCAGTGGACCCACGACAATATACATTTATTTGGAGGAAACCCTGACAAAATTACAATTTTTGGACACATCGCAGGGTCGGCATCTTGTTCGTACCAACTTCTCAATCAAGAGTCAAATGGTTTCACGATTACCTGTCAAACTATCTACCACAATAAACACGTACGTTTCAGGACTATTCCAAGGTGCTATTTTGGAAAGTGGTACCTTTCTAAGCCCATGGGCCTACCAAAGACGAGCCCGCCAAATCGCTTTTAAAACTGCTTCGTTTTTAAACTCCACGTTTGAAAACAGTGACGATTCACAAGCTTTGTTCGATTACTTGCTTACAGTTGAAGCTAGAGATCTAGACGCTGCAGCGGAACAGTACCATAATTACGTAATACAACTTAAACATACTGTAACTGTGATGGTAACTAAATTTATTTGTTTAGAAAGATGGACCCGAAGATCTGGAAATCTCTCAAGGTTTCTACTGGGCACCAATAGTTGAAGTTAAAAATCGTGACGCTTTTCTTACCAAGAAAATGTACGGTTTGTTAGAAGCTGGAAATGTTATAAGAGTACCTATACTTATTGGAATTACTTCTGAAGAAAATATAGGTTTCAATCAAGGTAAACGTATTTTTATTATCATGTAAACTTTATGTGTTTTCTGGTTTACATAGATGAAGAGGTACTACGTGCCAAAATGGCAGCGTACGATGAAAATCTAAGCTGGATCGTACCTAACGACATGGTCATTTTTGATGAAACTAAGCGTATTGAAATGGGTGGCTTGATTCGCGATTTATACACTGGTGGTGAACCACTGGCCGATCACTTAGGAGATGGTGTTAGAGTAAGTACAAATATTAATTTGGTATTCATGATCATCAATAATAATACCGTTATTAAGTATTCTAGTGACAATTCTTTCACTAGATCAGTAATCAAACATGCGGAACTTTTTTCTAAAGTATCGGAAACCTATTTCTACCAACTTTCCTACGATGGTGAAATGCCTGGTGGTACCACGTATTACGAAGGTGCTGAAACTGTAGGACATGGTGAAGATATAGCCTACTTGTTTTGCTCCGGTGAAGAGTGTAGAGGTACTGGATATCCTGAATCTGACACAACTACGAGACAACGTCTAATTAAACTTTGGACGGATTTTGCTAAATATAGGTATGTTAAAACACTTGGTATTCAAAATTTTATCAAGTGAATTTTAGAAATCCAACACCTGAACCATCAGAGTTACTACAGAATATCACGTGGCCGTTGTTGTCTATAGATGACGGTAATTTTTATTATTTAGATATCAATGAAACTTTGGAAATTAAAAATCATCCTAAAGAAACTACCTACAACAATTGGAATGATCTTTACGCTAGGTTGGGTTACAACGACTTCGATACCTATTAATAGAAAAGATTGTCTGTAGCTTTTCGACTACATAAGTAGATTATGGCGTCAGCGCTTTTTATAAATTTTGTGCATTACTTTATCATAACCCTGTGTTGCATTTCATTTTACGTTGGTGATCCGACAATCACTTTTGATCTGATTTTGCACCGATTTCTACTTCTGGTCGTGGAAAAATCATTTTCAAGTTGAAGTACTTTTTTATTCTACACCAGAGCAAAGTTTTCAAGTGGTATCTGTTACGTTCTCACTCTTACACAAACAAAATAAATCACGTATTTATTGTGACACTTATACTTACTGTGTTTATTTTTAGTCAATCAAAATTATCACACTTATATATGTTTTGTTAGTATCGTTATCTTGAATGGTGATTAGAAATAATGCTATTGTACATTAACATATGTATCTGCTGTTCAAAATCTGACCCACAAATTTATTGTTAATCTTGATTTAGATTAATTAGAACCTAAAATAAGAAAATGACAGTTTCAAGTGACTCCAAGTCTTTTCGGAGAGATAAATTGTTATTCTATTGAGTGATCGTGATGATCTACCTAGTAACAAATGAAATGTTCCCTAAAATATTTAGCAGTGCCGTTTTTGTACTTCAAATTAATTTTATGGTAATTTTTACTTCTGATTCGTTACACTCTCTTAAAGTCAAGATACCTATATAGTTAGGAGAACCAATTGTCGAACTACGAAATGGACAAATAAGAGGGCTGGAAGCTACCACTTTTGAAAATACAACGTATTATGCTTTTAAAGGAATACCATATGCAGCACCACTAGTTGGAGAACTACGCTTCCAGGTTATAATAATAACATTAATAATATTAGTAAAGCACAAAGGCACCCCGCTATAGATTGGGACGATATTCTCAATACCACTGACTTTCACACAGCCTTTCAGACAAGTAGTAATAATGACAACGAATCTGAAGACTGTCTTTACATTGATGTGGACTACACCGGAAGTAAGGAAAAAAATTATTTGTTTTGAACTCGACTTTCGAAAATAGCGACGATTCCCAAGCTTTATTGGACTATTTACTGACAGTTCGTGCCACAGATTTAGATGCTGCAGCTTAACAATACCACAATTACGTACGCACTCTAAATCTAGACCTTGCTCGGAAACTAAATTTGGTTTATCCAGGAATATGGACCTGAAGATCTTGAAATATCTCAAGGTTTTTACTGCGCACCGGTCGTTGAAATAAAAAATCCGGATGCCTTTCTCACTAAAAAGTTGTACGGTCTACTACAAACCGGAAATGTTATCAGAATCCCTATTCTCATTGGAATAACATCAGAGGAAAATCTAGTTTTTAACCAAGGTGTGAGAAATATGATTTTTTTTGGGAAATCATAATGGCAGCTTATGATGAAAACTTAAGCTGGATTGTACCAAATGACATGGGCATTTTTGATGAACCCAAACGTGCTGAAATGGGTGAGTTGATTCGGGATTTGTATACTAGTGGTGAACTACTGGCTGAACATTTGGTGATGGCGTCAGAGTAAGTGTTAACTATGACCACAAGCACAATCACATAATTGTTCTTCTAAATATTCCAGTTGTACCTCGTTTACTAGATCCGTTATAAAACACGCCGAGCTTTTTTCGAAAGTATCAGAAACGTACTTTTATGTGTTTTCCTACGACGGCGAAATGGGTAATGGTGATATATATTATGATGGTGCTGAAAGCGTGGGACATGGTGAAGAAATTGGATATTTGTTTTGCGCTGGTACTGGCTGCGATGGAAGTACTTATCCAGAGTCGGACAGAATTACAAGAACGTCTTATTAAGCTTTGGACTGATTTTGCTAAATATCGGTAAATCAACATGTTTCCTTCATGGACTTTTTTTCATAGATATATTTTAGGAATCCAACTCCAGAACCTTGAGAGTTGTTACAAAATATAACCTGGCCTTTGTTGTCTACAGATGGTGGCGACTTTTACTATCTAGACATCAATGAAACTTTAAAAATTAAAAATAATCCCAAAGAAACTACTTATCGAAGGTGGAACGAACTTTACGCTAGCGTGGGTTATACTGACTACGATACCTACTAACTCTCGAATTTTCTAGAATAATTACTGCTTAGATGCATTAAATAAATTTTGTAGATTTCAAACATCTTTTCTTTTCACACCAAAATTTATCTGACGAGAGGTCAGTAGAGCTGATCTTATAATTAATTGATTACCTGCTACTTGTAAACACCAAGGAATGCGTTCCAAAACAAATCGCTTATTTCCTATATTTGCCTGGTAAGTGTAGCACTCTGATAACAAACCAAAACACTCGACTGATACAAATCAAGTTATGGAAAAGTTCACCCACAGATCATCTCCTCGGTATTTATGAGCTAGTGTTTTGCTAGGTTACTCAGTAACAACCAGAATGTTCAACAAGGCGCTGAATATTGCAATCTTATTTTTTCAAATAAGTTGCTCGGTAACTTGCAAGTACAACATAATGTAGCGGTTTAAATAACATTGTGTAGTTAGGTGATCCCATGGTGGAACTCCCCAATGGGCAAATCAGTGGACGCGACGCTACAACCGCCGAAAATATACCATACTACATTTTCGAAGGAGTACCATATGCGGCTCCACCAGTTGGAGAATTACGATTCAAGGTAAGAAAACTGTGTGATTTCAAATAAAAAATTATTTGTTTCCAGGCACCACAACCTGTTGCCAACTGGGAAGGTGTTCTAGAGACGAAATATATTTCCACAACTTGCTTTCAAACATCTAGTAACAACGACAATGAATCGGAAGATTGCCTTTTCATAAACATATATACACCAGAAGTAAGTGCCAAAAATCCATCTACTTCTAGATTCAACTTTATTTTAACAGCTTCCCAGTGACGGCGGCAGTGGTACTTTACCTGTAATGTTCTACATTCATGGTGGAGGTTTCGTCGATGGTAGTGGTGTCGGATGGGGACCAGATCTTTTCATAGATAATGGGGTTATTCTGGTGACTATCAACTACCGATTAGGATTCTTTGGTAATCCATTTTAGTTATATTGTCAAACTCCTCGTTAAACTTGTTCGAATAAAAATGCTAGGGTTTGTCTCGACCCAAGACGAAGTAATTCCCGGAAACAGCGGCCTTAAAGACCAGCGATTCGCAATCCAGTGGGCCCACGACAACATACACCTTTTCGGAGGCGATCCCAATCAAATCACTATTTTTGGGCAAAGCGCAGGGTCGGCTTCTTGCGCCTACCAACTTCTTAACCAAGATTCAAATGGTGATTCCTTTATCATTTAAATTCATGTTCACACAGTATCCACGTTTTAGGGCTATTCCAAGCGGCTATTTTAGAAAGTGGTAGTTTTTTGAGTCCATGGGCTTATCAAAGAAGAGCCCGACAAATCTCTTTCGCTACTGCTGCTTTCTTGAACTCTTCATGGGCAGACAGTGACGATTCGCAAGCTCTTCTAGATTACCTACTAACGGTTGATGCTAGAACTTTAGACTCAGCAGCTGAACAATATCGCAGTTGGGTAACACATTTCATACATAGTACCCGATCTTGTAACTAAACGGGAAAACTTGTAGGAATGGGCAAACAACGGGTGGGAAGATCTTGAAATTTCTCAAGGTTTTTACTGGGCACCGATTGTGGAAGTGAAAAACCCGGATGCTTTTCTCACTAGAAACATGTATGGTTTGTTGCAAGCGGGTAGTGTTCTCCAAGTACCTATCATGATTGGGGTCACATCTGAAGAAGACCTTGTTTTCGACCAAGGTAGGTTTCAACATTTTTCACCAGTGGTACTGATTTCGTTCGTTTTAGATGCGCAAGGACTACAAAATAGAATGGCTGCGTATGACCAAAACCTAGGTTGGCTTGTACCCAATGATATGCAAATTACGGACCAAAATCAACGCACCCAAATGGGTAGCGCAATTCGAGATTTATACACCGGAGGTGAACCATTAGCAAACCATTTGGGTGACGCTGTTAGAGTGAGTGGATACCATAATAACATATACAGGTTAACCTTTCTTTGAAGTATTCCAGTGATACTTCCTTCACTAGATCGGTCATAAAACATGCCGAACTTTTCTCCAAAGTAGCGGAAACTTACTTTTACATTTTCTCTTACGATGGTCAAATGGGAGGTGGAAACACACACTATGATGGTGCTGAAGGTGTAGGACATGGCGAAGAAATAGGTTATTTGTTCTGCAGTGGCGATGGATGTAATGGTAATAATTTCCCAGAAGCTGATAGAGTGACGAGACAGCGGCTTATCAAATTGTGGACCGATTTTGCTAAATATCGGTAAGATAAATCCTTGTGACGCTAGATATATGCAAACTGTATGTTTTAGAAACCCAACTCCAGAAGCATCAGAATTACTGCAAAATATTATATGGCCTGCAGTCTCAACAGATAATGGAGATCTTTACTACGTTGATATTAATGAAAACTTAGAAATTAAAAATCATCCGAAAGAGGCTACTTATGGTGCTTGGGTTGAACTTTACAATAGCTTGGGCTATGATGATTTCGACACCTACTAAGTGCAAACACTTTTCCTAAAATTTTGTTTGGTTATCAACACAGTTAATGAAATAAATAAGATAAAAGTAGCCATACATAATTATAATTAACTTTACTTAAACTGTAACGTTATTATAAGAAAAGTAATTATAATATTGACGATACTAAAAATAGTGGATCTGCTAATGCGGAAAAACCTTGCTGCCGAAAACTCGGGAAGATTATTCTCCAAGTAGCAAGTCATCTTTTCCAAATCTCTACTTTCCTTCAACACCGTTCCACGAAAATTAATCGCAATCTGTAAAGTTTCCCTTGCTTCCAATAAAACAAAATCACACAAAACTACAACAATTACGATATTCGCCTAAAAACACAAAATTAGTGAGTTACACTAAAGTCCAGTCAACAACACTACAAAAACATTGCAAACAGCGCAAAGATTCGTTATAGTAGCTTGCGAAAAATCACCACCAACGAACCCATCGTTGTTTCTCAGTATCTGGTCAAGAAAACTAATTATAAGAGCTGTAGCATGGGTGAAGCTTAGAAGAATTCTCCAACCAAAGATGTCGTTGAAAATATCAACGGAGTCTTTTAAAACCGCCCAAGAGGTGTACACTTCTGAAAAAAATTCGTGTGTTTTTCCTGACAGCGTAGCTTCGAGATTTTGGTACATCTTGATTTTTTTCATTAATAATAGTTTCGCTCTTTGGTAGTACACACTAAACGCTGTGGTAAAAACAAATAGTACAGAATAAAGTATGTGATGTGCAAAAGATTCGACTAAATTTATCGTAAACATTTTAAAATAGTCGTAGTTACCAACTCTCCACCACAAATTTATTGTTGAAATTATTACAGCACCAAATATTCCAAGGTATGCAGCGAAAGCTAGATAGTACGGTAACAAGGTACGGTTACGCTCTGGTAAGTTACTTTGAAGCTGTTTTAAATTGTTACACATTTGTTTCCACTTTTTTTGTTTGAAAATGGACCCCGACAGTATCGATGTCACTGTACAAATGAATAAGCTTAGGTCTGTACAAATCTGTATCGTTCCTTCTAAAATGCTAAAGTTTTTCAAATCGAATCTTTTATAAGTCCAAGACACCATAAAACCGGCTGTCAAAAACACTGCTATACACAAGGAATATATTTTTGAACAGATATTGTCTCGTGTTTTATCGACTGAAGGTGTTATTCCTAAAACGCTGCCAAAAGAACAGATGTACTTTATCAAATCAAACATTTCTGAAAAATAACTCGTACGTGTGCTTTATTGATTGCAAGTGGTGAAAAACACGCAATAAAAATACCCGCGTTAAACAAAAGAATAAGTTAATAATTGAATAGAACAGATACGAGGATGTTTGTGTAGAAATACACGTATTGATTTATTACTTCACCGACATTGCGTGATTTATTTTCAAGGATCGATTGCACAAACTAACAAAAATAACTCTTTTATTTCTTGAAGTATAAGCTCGGTAGTTTGACACTTATATAACCATATTTTCTATAATAATTAAAGTTCCAATTTATTTCCAGAAACACTTCCAGGCAAAAAACTGCTAGACTCAGAGCAAGTCCCAAAAGCAACACAGAGAAGACCGCCTGATTTCGTCAAAAGAAATCGATTCGGAAGTTTCCGTCTTAACTTTCATATCGTCCATTTTTGCTACAAAGGAAATGAACTGAACATCTTCGTACCACTTATTCGTCAGACCATTTTCGAACAACTTGATGATGACGTCGTTAAAAGTTGGAAGAAAAATTGAATTTTTTGGTACTATGAAGCTGATATAGAACGTCGTAAAACACTCATCTACGATATGTAGCAGTGGTTCTCCTTCGTCGTAAACAAAATTGGTTTTGAGTACCCACATAATGTCCCGTTTTCTTTCTAATTTCGCAATACTCCTATTATAGGCCACAACTTTTAGAATATTTTCCCTCGTTGGACGTACTTTCCTCTGTTTCAAATTTTTCATCACTTTTGACGTATCAGCCGTAAAGGTAAAAAAAGTAGGTGCTATTGGTTGCCCTAATTGGTCGAGCTCTTCTAGAGTGTTTATGTCGTTATAGTACGAAACAGTCGTCAAGGAACGATAAAAAAAATCAATTATGCCTTTGCGGAATTTGGACAAAGTCCTCCTGAGCAAAGCGAATTCAGATATATTTCCATTTGACGATGATTTATTTGCTAAACGAAAGAAAAAGAGAGTTAAGAACATCAAGTGTGACATATGTGGAAAATATATCAAAAGCACCCGAATGCAGCTACATAAAGAGAAAGAAAACGAAAGGAACCTAAAAACATTTCAGTTTGATGACGATATATTTGCCAAACCAAAAAAAAATTGAGTAAAGAAGATCAAATGTGATATGTGTGGAACATATATCGAGAAAACTCGAATACATTTGCATAAATTAAAACATGATTTGAATAGTCGGCGTTTGCTCGAATTACGTAATATGGCAAAATCTTTAGGTATAAAATACATTAAAAGATACAATAGGACAGAATTGATAAACGAGATTATTCATGCTGAAGAGCAATTAAAAATAAAAAGGGAAAACAAGAATAGTTTGGAAATATTTCCGTTTAATGATGGCATATTTTCTAAACCGGAAAAAGAAAGAGTAAAAAAAGATCAAGTGTGGTGAATGTAGAAAATATATTAAAGAAAGTCGAATGCAGTTGCACAAAGCAAGACATAATCCAGAGCCAGATTTTATTTTAGTTCAGGTTCCTTTAAAAGGAAGATTATTAACCCATCAGCATAATAATCTAGAAGAAGGTATAGATATAGAAACATATATGGATATGATAAAAGCAAAGGCTATTAAAATAGTTATAGTAAATGCTTTAAATCTCCATAAAAATATTAAAATCAATTTAGACATGGAATGCGAGTTTATGAAACTGGAAAATGAAGACTTTACAATGATACATAAATTTCAGTTACCAAATGTGATGAATTGCAAGAAAAGGGATCTGGATGGACTTTGAAAAATATAAATTATTTGCGCATTAATATAAACAAATATACACCGTTAAGCGGAAATTCATATGTAGAATTACCCAAGTGAATTAAAGATAAAAAAGCTTGCGTTAATGTTAAAAACAACGATAATAAATGCTTTATGTAAAGTGTAATATCCTGTTTACATCAAGAAAAAGAACACGTAGATAGACTGAATCATTATAATAAGCCGGAATATATAAATGAATTAAATTTTGAAGGAATACATTTTCCTGTCAAAATCCAGGACATACCTAAATTTGAATCACATAATAAAATTAATGTTACCGTGTTTAGTGACGAAGAACAAATATTTTATCCTTTGTATCATATTAACAAGCAATTATATGAAATGAATATCGACTTACTATACTTTGGAAATAAAGACAAAAATCATTATTGTTGGATCAAGAATTTGAGTCGATTGTTAAACGATCAGTTGGAAGTAAATAGAAACAAAAAACATTTCTGTAGAAGATGTTTAAACTACTCCGCTAGAACTGAAGATGCTTTAAAGAAACATCAAAATGTGTGCTTTAGTAATGAACCATGTGTTCCGAACATGCCTGAAGATAATATATTAAAATTTAAAAATATTCAAAGAATGTTAAGACATCCGTATGTAATTTATTTTGATTTTGAATCTATTCTGAAACCTATTCATACATGCGAACCAAATCCTGAATCATCATATACTCATAAAACACAATTTCATAGTCCCTGTGGTTATGGATCATACGAGATAAAAAGAATAACTGTATATGCCAGAACAATATATAAGTTATTAAAAGAAAATAAACCCATAAAAGATATCGAACTAGAAGAATATAAAAAAACAAAAATTTGTTATCTTTGTGAAAATGTGTTTTCTATAGAAAACCCAAAAGTAAGAGATCATGATCACTACACTGGAAAATATAGAGGAGCTGTTTGTAGAAAATGCAATTTGAAATATAGACAACCATTGTTTATTCCAATTTTGTTTCATAATTTAAGCGCTTACGATTGTCATTTGTTTATAAAAAATCTAGGAGAAGATAAAACTCAATTGAAATTAATACCTAATAACGAAGAGAAATATATTTCTTTCAGTAAAATTTTAAGAATGGATGATAATGTATATATCGAACTGAGATTTATCGATTTATAGATTTTTAGCAAGTAGCCTAGACAATTTGTCATCTAATCTGGAATCAAGTCAGTTGAGAGAAATAATTAAATACTTTTCAAATCATGAATTAGATGTGTTATTTAGGAAATAAAAAAGCAAGATAATTAGAAAAGGAATATATCCCTATGGATAGATGAATTCTTTTGAGAAATTTTCTGAAACAAAACTTTCATCAATAGATAAATTTTATTCTTCGCTCACAAAAGAAGAAATTTCTCAAGAAGAATTCAAACATGCAGTGAAAGTATGGAAATATTTTAAAATTGAAAACTTGGGTGAATGGCATGATTTATACTTAAAACTAGATTTTTTGCTATTAACTGATGTATTTGAAAATTTTAGAGATTTATGTTTACAAAAGAGTTATGGACTGGATCCTGTTTGGTATTATACAACTCCGGGGTTAGCTTGGGACTGTATGCTCAAATATACTTCAGTGAAGTTGGAATTATTAACTGATTATGAAATGTATTTGTTTTTTGAAAACGGAATTAGAGGAGGTATTTCACAGTGTAGTAACAGGTATTCGCAAGCAGACGAAAATACTCAGATTATCTATATAGATGCTAATAATCTATATGGATGGGCTTTATCTCAGAGATTACCAGAAAAAAACTTTTTTTTTTGACTTGTGATGAAATTAAAAATGTTGACGGTATACTGTTATCAGATAGTGATACGGGTTATGTTTTAGAAGTTGATTTAGCATTCCCTGTAGACTTGGCTATTCATAACAAATTCAATGACTTGCCTTTGGCTCCGGAAAATAGAATTCCTCCGGGCGGAAAAGTAGAAAAACTACTTTGTCATTTCTATGATAAGAAAAATTATATACCTAATTCATTACAAAACATTAAAACTTTACAAAAGTTTAGGTATTAGAATAACAAAGGTTCACAGAGATATAAAATTTACTCAGTCAAATTTCATAGCACCATATGTAAAATTTAATACTGAACAAAGACAAAAGGCGA